TCTGGTCTTCCCGAGATTGGTCAGCCATGACGGTGGAAGATGGTTTTTAGATTTGGTCTTTAAGAGTTTGTAAGACGAGGAAGCTTGTTTCTCACAGACGGCGCCACTGATCTTACCGGATCAGACTTTGACCGTCACAGCTGGCTCGAACTGGATTTGAGTGAGATGGGGGGGAGGGTACCTGCAAGACACTCCGATGCCAAAATGAGAGATGGAATGGGCAGGCAAAAAGTATATAGGCGTGTGATAGATGAATACCTGACCCTCTTGGAGCAGAGGGTATTTATAGCCCCCAGCGCTGGGCCAAGGTCTCCTCATTGGGCCGACCAAAACTGGCCCAATAAAGAAACTGCCAGGTTCTACGTGTGTAGTGGGGTCCCGCACGTGGTCCCTTCCCTGGGTGGTGCTCTGCGAAGAATGAGGAAGGACGAAGACGCGGTCTTTCCGGAGCTTTGAGGATTCCATAACGGTTATAGTGGACAGAATCTGCCCTACGGGGAGGGTGTTCGAGCTGGACTTGAGCTCGAAGTCCCCTGGCCGGGGGCTGTTCGTCGAGGGCAACGGCGGGCGTTGCAACTGTAGTCTGTGGTCGGGCACGTTCGGTGATGGTCCGATTGTGGGCATTCCCCGATGAGCTGCTTGGATCTGGGCCTTTATTTACACTTTGGGCCTATGAGGGCCCAGTCCAGAACAAATGTGCATACTTGAACATATATAAGTGGGAGAATCCACTCACCTATCACCTTAAGGTTTTAGGTGGATAAGTGGTGTGTTTTCCACAAAGTGCATAATCTTCAAATTTGTACAAATGGATGAGCATTATAGACTCACACTTGAGGGGGAGTGTTAAATGGGATAATCAATTATTCTATTACCATAAAGTTTTAAGTAGATAAGTGTGTGTCTCCCATAAAAATGCATAGTCCTATATTATATATCAATACTCTTAACAACTGCCCTCAATAGAGAATACAGGGGTCACTCTTTAACCGCTATGACACTTGCTTTGTTTGTGTATTAATTTATATCAAATATCTATTAATGATTATCAAATATGATATACTATTATGTATATATTATATAATTAGTTAGCATTTAATTATCTTTAATATTATTAATTTATTATTTAAATATTTATTTCATATTTAATATATTATATATTATAAATTTAAATCATTTAAATAATATTATTTTAAATATATCTTTATTAAAACTATTATTATGAGAAATATATTAACACGTAATGGTACCTTATATTTCAATTATGATAGTATTATTGAAAATATATTTACATAATATTATGTAATTGAAAAAATATTTATAAATATCAAGAATTATTGTAATATTATGTAATTGAAAAAGTATTTTATAATATTTATGTTATTGGAATAATTTATATTTATATTTAATTATTTAAGTTTAATTCTAAAAAACTAATTAGTTACTTAAAATTTTAAATAAATTTTAAAATATTATTTAAAATAGTTAGCTTAAAATTTATTTAAAAGTAACATTGTAAGTTAACTATTAAACAAAATAATTTAAATAATATTTTAATAACAATATTATTTAAATATCAGTATTAATAAATATATTTAACAATATTAATGAACAATATTATTTAAATATCGGTATTATCAGTATTATTTTAATAGACATATTTAAAATTTATTTAAAATAATATTTTAAAAAAATTATTTAATAATTAGCTTATAATGTTACTTCTAAATAAAAAAAATTAAATAGTTTTTAAATAATTGTTTTCTAAATATAACTAATAAATAATAGTTATTAAATATGTTTATTAAATATTAATATTTAGGTTTAAATATATACATTAAAATAAAATTGATATATATTAAATATTGATATTTAGATTTAATATATATATATATATATATATATATATATATATATATATATATATATATATATATATATATATATATATATATATATATATATATATATATATATATATATATATATATATATATATATATATATATATATATATATATATATATATATATATATATATATATATATATATATATATATATATATATATATATATATATATATATATATATATATATATATATATATATATATATATATATATATATATATATATATATATATATATATATATATATATATATATATATATATATATATATATATATATATATATATATATATATATATATATATATATATATATATATATATATATATTTATTTATTTATTTATTTATTTGATTCATGTAATCATCAATAATAAATTAGCGCAGTGACTACTTGAGTAAAAATTAATTAATTTTTATATTAAACATGTAAACAAGTAAACATTAAAATAATAATAAGTTTTATCATGTAAAATTGGTACATCAAAATTTTTTATAATTGAATTTCAAAAATGATTAAAATAGAGAAATCTTCGTATGTTAAATAGTGAATTCAAATTCTTTTTTTATAGGCAGGTTTTTCAAAACTCCTTCGTATAAGAGAGACAAAATAACTATTAACTCTATTATAATTGACCTAATTTAAATTAACACACCTTTTTTAAAAAGATAAAAATCTATTGATCTTCATGTAGCTAATTGAAAAGCTATGGATTCTAAAATGGAAAAAATGGATAAAGCAATATTATAACCACCATAAAATACTACTTATGAGAGAAGGAGAATTTTCTTTTGCACTATCTCTCGCAAATGCGTTTGGTTCTGGTTCTAATATGGTAGTAACTTCTCTTAATTCTAAAGGTACTATATTTTATTTTGGATACAATACAGATAATTTGTAGTCTCAAAATAATAGATTCTGATTTTTGTTATTTTTTTAATGTTTAATAGGATCATTAAAATAATTAAATATTCGAGAGCTTCAACGATCTTAGAAGAATTAGAGAAATTTGGTTGTAATATTGTACATGAAATGAATGTTGGTGCACAAGAAAAAGATAAAAAATAAAAGAAATATATTTATTAACAACTTCAAAATAAAATTTTTACAATGAATTACAATAACCCATTTCACTAGACTTTTTATATACAAAATTATATCTTCTAACAAAGATATAAAAAGATATAATAATATCTTCTAAAAAGATATTTCTAAATATAAAATCAATATAAATTAAATCTAACATATATCTAAAATATAAATTAAATCTAACATCATTCCTTAATTTATATTTATCCAAAACTGACAACATCAATTTCATCCCTCAAACGAAGAAATTGATCAGTTTTGATAGCCTTTGTCAGAACATCTGTCAGTTGCTACTGGGTGCTACAGTGCAAAATTTCTAGTATTCCGCTTTGAACTTGATTTCTCAGAAAGTGATATTTGGTCTTAATATGCTTGTTTCTCCCATGCAGCACTGGGTTCTTGGCAAGATTGATTGCAGACTTGTTATTAATCATCAACTTCAGAGGTTTGTCTACTTTAATCTTCAGATCTTGTAGCAAGTTCAGAATTCACACAACTTGACATGCAGTCAGAGCACCTGCAATATATTCAGCTTCACAGATTGACAGCGCAACAACAGTTTAATTCTTGGAACACCAAGGAATAGGACCTCCTAGAAATTTGAATAAGTATCCAAAAGTACTTCTTCTGTCCACTCTATCTCCGCACTAATCAGAGTTTGAATAACTCAGAAGTTCTGATTCGAAAAGAGGATGAAAACTAATTGGTCCCGAAGTAGCATATCTCGGTGTAATTCAAGCATTGATCTATCTTTCTAATTATACAGAGATCGATATATCAATTTCTATTACTCTTTTAGTAAGATATAGTTTTTCAGCTACACGAAGACATTTAAGCGAAGTCCAACATATACTTCGTTATCTTAAGGGTAAATGGTCATGAGTTTGTTTTATTCCAAACTATCCAAATTTGAATTAACAGGGTATGTAAATGCAAGTTACTTGTCAGATCCTCGCAATGGTCAGATCCTCGCAATGGTAGATCACAAACAAGTTATTTGTTTACATGTGGTGGTACAACTATTTCATGGAGATTAATGAAACAAACGATAACAACAACTTCATCTAATCATGCAGAACTTTTGGCACTACATGGGGAAGCTGAGAATGCGTTTGGTTGAGATCATTAATCCAACACATACAAAATGTGTGTGGTTTGTCTTCTGGAAAAAAAATACAACGTTCATATATGAGGATAATATTGCATACATCACTCAATTGAAATATGGTTACGTTAAATAAGACAGAACAAAACACATTTTTCCAAAGTTCATTTTCACTCATAATGTTCAGCAAAGTGGTGATTTAAGCTCCAACAAACTTGTTCATCTTGCAGACCTTCTAGTGTAAAAGATTGATCTTCATCGATGAAGAAATGATCGTTCAGTTGAGGGAGAGAAATGAATTTGTTTAGCTGAAGAGGAGAAATGAATTTTTCTTAAAAGGATATTCTTTTTTCTTCACTAGATTTTTTTTCCACTGGATTTTTACTAGTAAGGTTTTAACGAGGTATATCCTGAACAAACATCCAAGGGATACTGTTGAATAATTGATGATTGTCTCCCTATAATTTTATTTCTTATTTGTAATAATATGTATTGACTAGTAACGAGATATTTCTTTAAAAAGAATATTCTACTCTTTTTCCTTCCCTAGAATTTTTCCCACTAGGTTTTTTCTAGTAAGATTTAAACAGGCATATTCTTTATTGACATCCAATGGGGAGTGTTATAAATAGAATGATTATGGATGTCCATCAATTAGGAGATTTCAATTGATTTTTCATTTACTACATATGTCATATACATATGACTCATATTATACTTGAAATCGACATTGATAATGAGAATAATACAATATTATTTCTCTCTTCTCTTTCTCTCATTCGTTTATACTCTTTTACTATATTGTTTCTCATTATTTTCGTAACAAGTTTAATGTTATAAATTTGATTTCTGCAAACTAATTATAACTATTGTCGATTACATTTGATGGAAATTCTTATCTAATCAAGTAGTTGGCTACAAAAAGCTCAATTATATTACCAAACAAAAGCTCATTTGGTCTACAAAAAAGGGAAGAATTGGCGCTCCCCTTTTGAACATTCCAAGGAACACTAAACCTAAAATCTGTCTCCAAGCACATTTTTCTGGTCTTTTTCATGATCAGATTCAACATTATCCATAAGCACATACTCAAATTATCCCAAATACAATTCCTAGTTAAAAAGCTAGCACCTATATAATCCCTTTATATATGAAAGAGAGCCTGATTTCACAGCTCTCTGCAGAACAGAACTGGTCTTCAATGTCGACAGCTTTCAGTGTAAAATCTTTAGCAGGGAACAGGAGCGTTAATAAAGGAGGAATATAATCTCATATAGATAAGATACCTCGTTGTAAAGATTTGAAACAAAGCAAATTACTGGTGGAGTCTGCAATCATTTTACTTGTTCATAGTTGATGATAGGTAAAAATTCCAAAATATTGAGCCCATTGACATAAAAGCTACTCGAGCTGGAAGAGGCACCACCCTGTACAGATTCCATAAAAATAGCAAAAGGAATGTAAGACTCGTCAAGGTCTAAGAACTCGATAAAAGAGAGAAAACGATAAACATAAATAGAACATCAAATTGAAGAATGTGAACACACGTACCAGAAATTTAACACACTGACAGGGACCCAAAATCTAAACCCTGAACAGAAAAATTTCACAGAAAGGAATTAGAAATATGCATATCACTAAGTCCAGAGTAACAATTAGGCAATGAGGTCTATACCATAAAGTAAAGCTGGAAGAGCATCTCTTCTGTATTTTTCTGGAAGCTCGGAGAGCTTCTGTTGCCATAAATTGTTCCATGCAAAGACAACAGCAATGACACACGGACCCAACACAATCTGGTTTAGTAAAACCTGTCAAAAGAGAGGATAAAAAAAGAAGAAGCGAAATTAGACGCTGTCACTATCCTTAACTACTGCATGCTACTACAATGCATAATACCTTTAGCATTAGGTTCTGGACATTTGGTTTGGGGAGACAATGATCAAGCAACTGGTACCAGGCGAAAGAACCAGGACCATAGAAAAGGAATCCATAGGAAGTCATTCGCAGAGCACGTAGCAAATCATGTTCTGAAAGAAGCCTTGACAACAAGTCCTACAGAAAACCCTTTTGGTTAATAACAAACTCCAAAGTATCACCATGTATTTCTAATGCAAAAATAAACAAATAGCAGCTCTCATTCACCCTCTCAACATGACCAAACCCAAAAACCATTCAGCACATATTGCAATATGAAGAACAAAATGTTTTTCTCTAGTGGCTAAATAGTAGGACTTACATTAATCTTAAAATAGATGGATACACCTAAAAAACAAAAACAAGCTTCTTTTTTCAAACTTCCAAGATAACACACTTCACCTGAACCTCCTAGTCCTATGATTTTTTTTTTAGGTCGGTAGAATAACCACTACAAACCCGCACACATCAGTGAGTAGGCTCAAAACTTGGTGGTGACATCCAACCTAGCAATATTGGTTTCAGCCAATTGAGCTAGGATTTGTGAACTTCTAGACCTTTTACTTTACATCCAAAAAATCAATATATAACTAATTTCATACAAAATTAATCAACTAGTATTACAAAAACAACTCATAAAACTACCAACTCAAAGTTCATTTTTTTTCTTCTGATAATTCTCATCGAACAGTAACCCTTACCTGAGAAGCATTGTCATCAGTCTCTTTGGCTTTGCTCCAACGGTTACTGATCTGAGCAATTGTGTCACCGGTAAGGGCGAGGGAGGCGGCAGTTATCGCCTGCTTCACCGGGAACTGATAAACACCTCCGACGACGGAACCAGGCGAAGTCGAATTAGAGCAAATTCGACGCCGTCGAGAATCCTGTGACGGATTCCACTTCCAGAAGCCGCTAAACCCACTTCCAAATCCAATCGCGTCCATTTCCCTCTCGAAAAAAAAAGAAGCGATTTTTTCGCTCTTAAATCTTATTCTTATTTCAAGACTCGAACGTGTGGTGTGAGTCTGAAAAAAAGAAAAAGCGAAAACGCAGCGTTTCATACTCAATTTCCCCTTTCCCACATTCAATAAAAATTAAATACAAAAATCGTTTTTTTTTTCAATTCCCCAATTGGGTGTTCAAAATCAGTGACAACAATCTTTCTTTTCAAAATCATACTTTATACCCTTTTCGTGAAGTGAAACTAGGAAGATTTTTCAGTTATGCATATAACAAAATGCAAAGGTTTTGATAAGTTTTTAAGGTTTCATGTGCTATGAGTTATTCAGGGGAGTGTTTGTTGCAACTTGCACAACGTTGCTTGAAGCACCCAAAACAATTGAAGCAAATTCACTCTCTTGTACTCACTAATGGTTACCTCCTTTTTCACCATAACAAATGGATGCCAACACTTCTCTACAATGCTCTCATAAGAGCCTATCATGTTCAAAACCACAACAAGGTTCTTGACATTTTTACTCACATGCTTTCAAACAATGTCTCACCCAACACTCACACTTTTCCTCCTCTCCTTAAATCATCACCTTGTTCTCTTGTCACAGCTCTTCATTCTCAAGCCCTCAAACGTGGGGTCTTGTCTGACCCTTTTGTGCTCACTACTCTTCTTGTACTCTATGCAAGAAATAACAACCTTGTTTGTGCCCAAAAGGTGTTTGAGGAAGTTCCTCTCTTTTGTATTGTTGCTTCCAATGCAATGATCAATGCTTTTTTGATGAATTGTAATATGGAGTGTGCTTTGTCGCTTTTTCAATCCATGCCTTACCGGGATGTTGTTTCGTGGACTACTATGGTTAATGGTTATGCTGCAAATGGGAGTTTCGATGCTGCAATTCGGTTTTTTGGGAGGATGATGACTCATAAGGATGCTGTGGGTTCTTTGGTGAAACCAAATGAGGCTACTTATGTTAGTGTGATATCCTCATGTGCTGGTTTAGAAGAAAAGGCCGCTCTTGACTTTGGAAGGCAAGTTCATGGTTACATATTGGTGAAAGGGGTTGATTTGGGAGTTTTCGTTGGAACTTCGTTGATAAATCTTTATGGAAAGATGGGGTGTTTGAACTATGCTGTGAATGTTTTTAGAGTAATGGTTAAAAGAGAGGTTTGTACTTGGAATGCAATGATTTCTTCACTGGCTTCCAATGGTAGAGAGAAGGAGGCACTGGATTTGTTTAAAAAGATGAAGAAGCGTCACGGGTTGCAACCGAATAGCATTACTTTTGTGGCAGTTCTTACGGCATGTGCTCGTGGGAGGTTTGTTCGGGAAGGATTGGAGTTGTTTGGATTGATGTCGAGTGAGTTTCAAATAGTGCCAGTAATGGAGCACTATGGATGTGTGGTTGATCTTTTGGGAAAAGCTGGTCATATTCAGGAAGCTGCCGATATCATAAAAAATATGCCTTTTCAGCCTGATGAATCAGTATTGGGTGCCTTTTTGGGTGCATGTAGGATTCATGGAGCTATTGAACTCGGAGATGAAATAGCAAAGAAGATGCTTAAATTGGAAATGCAACACTGCGGCCAATACTTGTTATTGTCAAGTATGAATGCTGAGAAAGAAAGATGGGATCATGCTGCTGATCTGAGGAAAGAAATTATGGAGGCTGGAATTCACAAAATTCCAGCATTTAGTATTGTTCATTTGACATAACTTTACTCTTCTCTATTAAATATGATAATCTATTTGCTCTATTGTACATAATTTTGAGTCACTTGCAATCTTGTCATTGATAGAAATCAATTGATGACAGCTTTCTGCTAAAGTACTTTGTATTCCCACCAATAAAAAAAACACATACAGAATTTCTCATTGTTGAATAACTCATTTTTTATTTTTTAACTATTAGTTACAAAGAAATGCCCCGAGTATGGATACATACACGTGCTAAGTGTTTTGAAATGAATGTATTAGGAGAATCATGACTATTACAAAGAGATGTAAGATATAGGTTCGTGTTAAGTATGAAGGAATCACTGAATGAACTTCTAGCGTTGGCATCGCTGTTAGGCAGCAGCAACTAGTCGTGCCTGATGTGGTTTCTCATCCACTGGTTCTGCAACTAACGATACCTGTCGCTGTTCCTTGTCTGCCGCATATGCTTCTCCGTCTTCTACTTTTTGTAGGACATTTTGTTGAATGTATCTGAATATTACAACCAATAAAAATCCTGCAAAGAAAATTACATTGTAAAACGAAAAATCAGCTATCACAGTTGAAAACTGCACATATCAAAATGATTGACGCAGGCAAGTGGCTTACTAAGAAAATTACCTGTGCAGATTCGAGTCTTTGTAGAAGACAGATTCCAAAAGGTAATAAGGGCCGACACGACCACTATCTTCTTGTAACTGCAAGCACTCCATGTGTCCAACAATCGCAATTTCAAGCATTCAGCTGCATATTAAAAAAACTTATCTATGGTATAGAAATATGAATAAGTAGACCTACATATGTATGTTAATTCATGGATGGAATTATACCTCGCTGATTGATCTGAACAAAGTAGCATGAATAAAGCTTTGGTACACTGAAGCTGACAAAAAATCCTGCTCATAAATATCTATTAGTACTATTATGTCAGAACAAAGATATTAAAAGTAAATTATATTCATGCTATGAACACTAATAGGTAATAATAATGTCTCACCAATGGCACTAAGCCTCCAAATTGTAATAAGATGGCCATACCGAGCTCCTAGTAGAAGAAAAGGAGCTACCTGCAACAGCCAGAAAATAAACTTAACCAACAAACTCTAAACCCACAAATCGGCATGATTTTGAACACAATCAGGGAATTAACTAAGAGTAAGGTTGCATGGATTACTTTTAGTGTCATGGATGGTTCTCCAGAGAACAGCCCTTTCGTCTTCAAAATTGCAAAATTCAAAGCAGGAAGAATCAATTTCGCAAGACGCAAAATATCATCTTCTTTCAGTTTGGCATAACTCCTCTGCTTAACTTCTGGGTCTCTGAACAGATACAAGTTGTAAATTCATTACTCCTGTCATAGCTTAGAAGAAAAACAACACAATCATAAATAAATAAATAAATAAGCAAAACTATACCTTTGACAAATAGAATTTGAGATAAAAGAAACCGCCAAAAATAGAATTGCCAATTGTGAGATAGCAGAGAAAAGGCTGAAACAAGAAGCACAACAAAATCTCAGAATTTTGCACAATACATAATAACAAAGAAAAGGGCCAGAAAAACAGTTGCAGACCTAAAGTTGATCCCTTTAGTGAAGCAAGAAGACAAGAAACAAAGAGATCCAAACCCAAACCAAAAGGTTGATTTTTGCACATCTTTCCACATGATTAATTCAGCAATCAACATTCCAATGCGATCCAAATCACCTCTATTCACTTCTTCCCCTTCTAAACACCAAATAAACACACATCAGTTATCAATCTCTACTTCAAAACAACATAAAATGGAAACAATATATAAATATAACAGCAAAATCTCTATCACAATTAAAAAGCAAAATATATAATCCAAGTTCAAAATGAATTCTCTATCACATACTTGGTGGTTGAAAAGGAACCAAACTGAGTTTATCCTTCTTGCTGTTTCTTCTCTTCCTCTGTTTTCCAATTTCATCCATCAATACAATCTCCTTTTCTTCCCTAACTTCAACTTCTTGACGTCTCCGCGATCTCCGGGAGCTTCTCGGAGAAGACAGAGCCGCCCTACACCTCCGTCTTAGACTATTGGACTCATGCATCTCGTCGTCAAACCTCGGCTTGGATTTTCTGGAAGATGGAGGAGACATGAGGAGAAGCTCCCTGAGTGGAAAACAGCGAGTTGGAGATCGGAGAAGAGACAGCGGTGAGGGCGATGATGATGGTTTTTTGGCGGCGGTTGGTGATTGATCGAGGTCGAGTGATATACGAAGAGGTTCCGTGGCGGTTATTTCACCAATGCGGGATAGGGGAGAGATTCGGGGAGTGGTTCGACGTTCTGATGAACGGTGGTGATGATGGCGAGGGGTAGAATTGGAAGAGTCCATGAAGATTATAGTGAAGTGTTGTTGTTACTAGATTGTGATGATGATAGTGAAGTAGTTTTGGGTGTTGTAGCCGTTAGAGAAAGAAGCGATTTTATACTAGTTGTTTTGTTAACTTCTTTTTAAATAAGTCAAATCTAGTACACTCAGGTGGGGCTGCAAGCTTTAACGGTAAATAAATGCGATCTACAATTAGGTTCGTTAATACTACAACTTGTAATGCTAAAATCACAATAATTAAAGAAAAACATTGTAATAAATCCTTCCCAAGACTTTAAAAAAAACGTATATAAAAACACCTAAAATATCAAAATCTATATAATATTTTTATTAATCTTAAGTTCTATGCTACATTGATTTGTCAAATTTTAACATTTATCTATTTACTTTACTCTATCTTTTTTTTTATTACTCCAACATCTCTCTATTTAACATTTTTTGAAATAGTTAAGGAATCCATAATTGATGGACAAAATTCATTCTTCAACTCAATAATTTTAATTATCAATTCCGCGTTCACTTAATTAAATTTCACAATTTATAGGATGATTAAATATACTTGAATTTAATACCGTTCACTTAACTAAATTTTACGGTTTGAATCTCATTTTTCAAAAACTAATTCAAAGGGTGATATTGTTCTCACATATTTATACAATTAATAGTCTCAGAACCAAAACATTCTGAAACTTCATACAAATTTCAACGATACAAATACCAACTTTAACAAGGACTATGTTTGACATGGACTCTGTTGCACCCCAAAATTTGTCCTCTCATGTTTTCCAAAGTCTTCCCCCTGCCTGGTTGATCACAAACTCTTGCCTAAGGAAAAAGAAGATTTTTGAATGGTACTTTAAGTACCTTTCGATTGGCATCCTGAAAGACACTTCGATTGACATTTTGGACAAGCATTTCAATTGGCATCCTGAAAGACCCTTCGATTGGCCTTCTGAAGGAGTCTTTCGATTGGCATTATGGACAAGCATTCAATTGGAATTATGTCAAGGCAATTTCGACAGGCATGTCAACCATGTCCTTCGATTGGCATGAACAACACCTTTTGATTGGCCTGCTAGCAGAGCCTTTCGATTGGAATACTTCGATTGATATTTGGGCCAGGCTCATTCGAAGGGTACGCAGGGAGTCCATTCGAAAGAGGCAAATCAGGACTAATCGAAGAGCATGGCCTGAAAGCATTCGAAATCCAAGCGTCCAGGTTCATTCAAGGGACACGAATGTTTCAAAAGAGGAAATAATTTAATGTGTTTGATTTTTGTCCAGAGCGTTAAAGACCTGTTTTAATGGTTGTCCCTTGCCATTACTGCACCCTCACACCCCTATAAATACAGAGGTCAGCATACATTACCAACACGAAAATCAAAGGAAAATCATAGAACGAAAATTATACACACACAAAAAATCTGCAGGAGAACAAAACATTGGAGAGACGCTGCCCAGAATTTTCCAAGCTAAAGCAGTCCCTCAGATCGAAGGTGTCCACGCCCAGAAGCCCTCAAATCAAAAGTGCCTACATCCAGGAAGCCCCCAGATCGAAGGTTCCTACATCCAGGAAGCGCCCAAATTAAAAGTCCAATCTGTTGGTAAGAAAGGGTAAACCATCCAACCTCATATTAGCATAATACATTCATACTTGTTGTTACTTTCGATTTGACATCCTAGACAGGATCAAAGGGCCTGGATTTGGCACCCAGGTCATGTTTTTTCGTTTGCTAACACTTGCTGCAGATTTAGCCTGAAGAGACCCCAACAAGTGCAGGATCGAAGGGCCTGTGATTCAATATCCAGGCCCTGCATTTTATTTCGCTAACATGCTTTTGCAGGTATAACATCCCAGATCGAAGAAGAGCCCTTTTCTGGATCGAACCTATTAGCATGCTGGATCGAAGGAGGCATCTCATTCCTGGATCGAAAGCCATGACCTCCATGATCAAGAGACAGTCCTCTTCCCTGGATCGAAGGCTACTCACGCCTTGTTGTTTGGCCCAATCGAAAGGACCAGGACCCTCCCTGGGTCGAAACTCTTTTTCTTGGATCGAAGTATCCCTCCTGCGCTTTGTTTTTTTGTTTTTTTTCATAGACTTCTTTTTATCTTTTAATTAACATTAAAATCAAAAAACCACAACAACAAAAAGAGTTCTTTTTCTTAGGATTTTTTTTAGATTCACGCGCGTTTATTTTACTAGGATGTAATAGCTTAAACTAAGACCTTCTTTACTGCTTTACTTCCCCAATTTTTGGACATGTAAATAATCCCCCTCCCCGAAGCCTTGTAATAGCGTAGGATTTACAATTCTCGTACTTTAAATTCATGTACATATATTAACTGTTTAGATGTATGCTAACTAGGATTGCATGGCAAGATCTATCTTAATTTAAAATCAACTACAGCTCACCATAACATGTACAAAGATAACATATAACTGAAAATTGACACACTTGCACATGCCACTCTTAGGGTACACCTCACTTGGTTGCCTCGAACGTGGTCATTAAGTAAAGGATGTTTTAGAGGTCGTCCTTTTATCCCAAGATCATAAGTTGCCTCGAAACGGTTGCCTCGGAAAAATGATATAAGACATTAGGATTACCACTAAAGCGTCCTAACGTTGCTTTAGTGACCACACGCCTCTTAAATCGAATTGACCCGAAAAATCCAACGACGGTGCTACCTACTCCTCAATAGTAGGATAGTACTGTCTAAAGGACATTTGCATAATTAAATTCCTTTTTGAGTAGGTAGAGGTTCTTAAGTACTTGCTATCTTTTAAAAACAAAACAAAAACTTTTCGCACTTACACTTTCTTCAAAAACAAAATTCTTTTCAAAACCCACAATCACAAAGAAAAGCAAACCTTTTGAAAACATAGTGAGCAAGTACCTAAGAGCCCGTGGATAACCACGGATAGAAAGGGTGCTAACACCTTCCCTTTCTATAATCTACCTCTTGAACCCGAGAAACATCTCGAAAAGGAATTTTTCTGTGCTTTTGTCCTTTCCCTTGTTGGATAAAATAAAAGACGGTGGCGACTCTTGCTTACCGCGACATTTTGCAAAAACAAACGCAAACGCGAACCAACATTCAAAAAAATAGTCAGTTCTCATTCCCACCGACCACAAAACTGGCGACTCTGCTGGGGATTAATTAATAAGTGAGGTATACCTTGGGATTAGATCACTTGTGTTTTCAATTGTATTGCTTTGTATGCTTTTAATTTTGTGGGCTTGTATCGGAGTTCTATAGATCCTAACCCGGATCTGGGGGTACCCTTTTTAGGTAAGTAGCAACAAACTGTGAGGGAACTGTGCGGGGTATACCGACATGGTTGAAACAGTAGCTACGTTGATGTGGCACTTTGGTGAGTACCGGTAACCCTTGAGTTAAGTCAAGGAGAGTACGGGGCCGCCGCGTGGTATCGTAAAGCATCAATTGACCTTAGAACCTTACTTGACCATCTTGGCCTTTTTTAGGGGTAGTGAGATGACCGACTTTGGTGCAGTCCGAAGTTGGTAGATACTCGATACTACACTCATTGAGGGTTGTTTTCTTGGAATATTTTGGTCGCCAGTTAAGTGGCTAAACCAAAACAATGAACATAGAAAACAATCCAATGATATTGAGCTCCTTAGAACCCGATTACTATTTATATGACAGGTTTTGAGCCAACTAAACTCAAGAGGGAAATACCTATGAAACTCCATGCCAGCCTAAACTTAAGGTTATTTGTGTGACTTGTGTGCCTTCAAATCTGAACTACTTGGACATTCTTGTTATCTGACAATATGAGTTTCTTGCAGGTTTTGTTTACAGTCCTTATCCAATAATTTGGACTTATTGCAGGGCTTACTTACATCACCTCACACTTTTGCATACCTGTACATAACATCATAACATCATACCATAGCATTTTTTCTTAACCATTTCAAGGATCTCAAGGGTCTGTGATGCAGGTTATGGTAAATCAAATGTCCAGCAAGGGGCAAAGGGGATTTATTTTCCTCTAGCCAAGTTTGTCTAGAAATCCAAGCATGATAACTTGAGTCAGGGGCTATGACCCACTCGATATGGTGAGCTTGACTCTTGAAGAAGGACTCTTAGCAACATGAAGTTCCTTCAATCAAGCTACCAGATTCAGATTCTAACAGTTTCTTGTTTACCCCGCGAGATCCTTGAAAACATTGCATACATATATCATACATATCATTGCATAACAGGTCTCCCAGTATAGGTTTCTCATCTTCTTCGCTGTTTATTTCAGCAATCATCATGTCTACTGAACCTTCCACTGAGCAAACTATCAAGGCCCTCCAGGCCCAGAATGCCCAATTTCAAGAGTTGGTCATGAGCCTAGCTAAGGGACAGCAGGACCTAAAGACCCTGATTCTGAAAGAGAGGAAGAAGAAGAAGAAGAGGACCATCCTGTCCAACACTAGACGCAGGTTTAGAAACGGGTTGCAGAATGAAATTGATCTGGCCACCCCATCTGGAGAGAAAGATAGTCCACAAGAAAGGAGGGCTCCTAGCCCCATAGTCTCCTACAACGAGACGGACTATGATGAAGAACAGTATCCTCCTGCTGAGGATAAGTACAAATAGCTGGAAGACCGTTTGAACGCTATGGAGATACAGAAGGTGCCCGGTCTGGACTTTGGAGATCTAGGTCTATCCTCTGGGGTGGTGATTCCCCATAAATTCAAGGCACCTGCCTTTGCCAAGTACGACGGAGCTTCCTGTCCAAAGCTGCACCTCCGGTCATATGTGAGGAAGATCCAACCTTACACGGCTGATAAGAACTTGTGGACCCATTTCTTTCAAGACAGTCTCTCAGGGACTCAACTGGAATGGTTTTGTCAACTGGAAGGAGCTAACATCCGCAACTGGGAGGACCTTGCTGCTGCTTTTTACAAGCAATACCAGTATAATGCCGACCTTGCTCCCACACGTACTCAGCTTCAGGGTATGTCTATGGTTACAGGCGAAG